CTCTAGCGTCCACCAGCATCATCCGTGTGCCCATCCACCAGCATCACCCATGTGCTCATCCTCTAGCGTCCACCAGCATCATCCGTGTGCCCATCCACCAGCATCACCCGTGTGCTCATCCTCTAGCGTCCACCAGCATCACCCGTGTGCTTGTCCACTACCATCATCCGAGATGCGCACTACAGCGTTTGGTTGGCTTTGCTGCCATTGTACCCCTTACCTTTGTACCTGCCATAGAGCTGCTCCAGTTTCTTCTGGTCCACCGCGCTCTTCATAGACTCTCGGTGGAACGCCTCTGGGTTTTGGAAGAAACTGTCTGTAGCCTCATCTAGTTTCCACTCATTCTGTGTCAGGCAGTAGATGGCAGTTTTCTCGCTAGCTTGTGTGCATGCCATGAACTGGCGGACTTTGTCCTTCTGAGTTGATTTAAGTTTATGCTTTGGGATGAAAACAAAAAGGTGGGAAAGCCAATGAATCCATGGTTGCTCAGCCTTGATTCTTTGTTTTTGTTTTGTTTTTTGAGACAGGGTTTTACTGTGTAGCTCTGGCTGTCTTGAAACTTACTTTGTAGTCCAGCCTGGCCTCAAACTCACAGAGATCCGCCTGCTACTGTCTCCTGTGCGCTGGGACTAAAGGCGTGCGCCATCACCACATGGCATACGTCTATTTTTACATTTTACACCTACATTTTAACTGGATTTATTTTTCTTGTTGGACCCAACTTTCAGAATAGCAGGGACCAAAACCTTACTCTTCATCAGTCAAAAGACTGCATAGTCTTCTGAAAATGGAAATGAAAGCAACTCTACAGTAATAAATATATAAAAGTTTAACGAAAAGTCGATGAAAATCAACCTTTTATAGACAATATACTATAAGCCAGGAATGGAGATGCACATGAGTAATCCCAGAACTTGGGAGCCAGAGCCAGGAGGACTATGAATGAGTTCAAGGCCAGCCTCTATGCAATGAGCTCTAAGGTAGCCAGGGGCTATACTGGGAGTCCTGTCTATAAAAAGTAAATAAATAAATAAGCAAGCGAGCCAAGTATGGTGGTGCATACCTTTAATTGCAGCACATGGGAAGCAGAGGCAGGAGGATATTCAGAGGCCAGTCTGGTCTACACAGAAAGTTCCAGGCCAGTCAGGGCTATGATGTGAGTCTGTCTTAAAAAAGAAAAAAAAAAAAAAAGAAAAGCATGTTCCCTTTGTATAAAATACTGCTCCCCTCCCCCTTAAAACATTAGCACAATATCTCAGTAATACGCATCTGGTACCCTGCCAACAACACGGGGACTTGATGCTATCCTAGGGCCCCCCCTGCAGAATCAGGAGCTTCCATTAAGTTCAGGTTCCAGTGAATACTGAGGAAATAGACAGTTTGGAAGCACTATTGTTTTAAGGCTTTTCTTAGTTTAGGAGCAGAACGGTGCTGATGGAAACACACAAATAACTAAGCGCTACACTGGAGGAAATTACAAAGGGCCACAAGGGAGCACACAAACCGTGAGATGAAAAGTGGGACAGAGGCTGTGGGGAGGCAGGAATAGCACTGCCGAGGAACGGCGCTATATATAGTCCGGAGCGAAAGAGTGCATCTGCATGCTTGCTGACCAGCACAGCCACGCCTCTAAGGTAACTCAGGGAAAGCAACACCAGAAGTGATGAGCTCATTTCTAGAAATCAAAACAGACTCCATAATAAACAGTTTCTTTCTTTATTCAGTAGAACTGGGGATCAAACCCGGGATCTCATGCACACTAGGAAAGTGCCAAGCTACAGTGGTCTGTCACCAGTCCTGAGGATTCTTTTTTTTTTTTAAACAAGAAGCTTTAAACAATAATAAGGGAACAATTTTTACTTAAGAGGACTGCACTTTTCTTATTCAAATAAAGATGAGAATTTATAGTAGTAACAGAATAAAATTTAACTTACAGAAATACATAATGAATAGTAAGGTGCAGATGAAGAAATAAAGGGGGGGAGGCAGGAAAGGGATTAAAACAAAGACATGCATACCATGTATAAGAGCTGAAAATGGGCTGGAAAGCAGGCTCCAAGCCGCTAGCTGCCACAGCAAAGAAGAAAACGGGAGTAGGTTAGGAAAATCTGGTGCCCATAAAAGCCAGAAGAGGGTGACAGATCCCCTGCAATTGGAGTTAAAGACAATTGTGAGCCGCCACATGGGTGCTAAAAACCAAACTCGGGTCCTCTTAACTGCTGAGCCATTTCTCCAGCCCCAATAATAAATGTTTTTAAAAACCAATAATCCACAGCTAAATCTAAAAAGTGTTTGCTTTGCATTAAAAACCAGGTGGTGGTGGCGCATGCCTTTAATCCCATCATTTGGGAGGCAGAGGCAGTAGGATCTCTGTGAGTTCGAGGCCAGCCTGGTCTACAGAGTGAGTTCCAGGACAGCCAGAGCTTCACAGAGAACATCTGTTTTGAAAAACCAAAAAAGAAAAAACAAACAAACAAAAACAAATAAGCAAACAAAAAAACAGCTAAGAGAACTCAGGTCCAATGGGAAGAAAGGTGAATTGGTAATAATTTTCTTAAGAAAAATGGTTTATAAACTAAAAATTTACAGGAAAATAAAAGAGCTCCAAGTGCATCCATGCCAAGGTCTACTTAGGCAAGTGACTTTAGATAAAGTTTAGCACGTCCCAGGAACCAAAGTCCTAGAGGACATTTTCTATGTCTCATTATTTTATTGTTTAAAATGCACAGATTTTTATTTTTTAATACTTATTTATTATATATACAATATTCTGTCTGTGTGTATGTCTACAGGCCAGAAGAGGGTAACAGACCTCATTACAGATGGTTGTGAGCCACCATGTGGTTGCCGGGAATTGAACTCAGGACCTTTGAAAGAGCAGGCAATGCTCTTAACCTCTGAGCCATCTCTCCAGCCCTGCACAGATTTTTTTTTTTAGTGCAAGTTGTTTACAATTACTTAGTGTGTGTGTGTGTGTGTGTGTGTGTGTGAGTGTGTAGGTCAGAAAACAACTTGTATTGTTGGTTTTACTTATTCACCATCTGGATTCCAGGATTCCAGGGATTGAACTCAGGTCATTGGGCTTGGTGGCAATTACTCTTAACGGCAGAGCCATCACTTCAGCCTGGACTGGTAAGTGTTAATTAACCCTTTTGCTCGATTAAATTACAATAAAACATTTCATTTTAAGAAAACCATCTCAAGAAGAGATGTATGGAGCTCCTTCAGGGACAACCTTTTGGGTGAGTTCTCTGCCCAATGTTTTCAATGGCTCATCTGCCTCACTCTTCACAAGTTTCCAAACTACATTTACAGTAGCCCACTGAGAAAGTGCCTGAAGTCACTGACCAGTGTTTCCATAGTCTCCCAGAGCTCAGCACAGTGCCTCACACACAACCGCAGCTGCTCAGAATCATTTCAGAAAGGGATAATCAATCAGATATACAGAAAGCAGGACAACAGGACCTTTTGAACAGCGGAGGCTGGCATGGAAAAGGACAGGGGACCAGAACAGCGGAAGCGGGAATGAAAAAGCTTCAAACGCGTTATGTGTTACCTTGTGTACAATAAGGCACAATTTAGGCACACGGGTGCTTCGATATAAGATTTAAAAAAAAAAATCTGTAAAATGTTCTTCCGGAGGCACCTCCTCTTAGGCTCACCGGACAATCATTTGATCACATAAATTTGTGGCCCACTTTAGGTTGACTGTGCTTTTGCAGGTCCAGGCCTGGAGAGTGGGTCCTTAAATCCAACCGCTTCCAGATTTTCAGCCTCCCAGATAAGGGCACAGGCATGGGGGGCTTGGCCACTGGCTCTGCTGGTCTCCTCCGCTGGTCAGGAGAGTCTTTCGGCTGCTCTTCTCAATTATTTCTTGGTTTCTGGGTTCGTACCTTCTAGTTTTCCAGCCTCACCCTTCTCAGTATCCATTCCATCCCCTCTTGCCTCCCTAAGAGGCTCTCCCAAAGAACCATGTGCTTTCCTTTGCACAAACTCTTAAGACAAGCAGACATCGCTCTAGAAACAGAGACAAATCTTGTCTCCCTGGGTTCCCATCCGCCCGCAGCCTCTCAGAGCATGGCTACCCCAAATCCAAGGAAAGGGGTTGTCAGGTGCCCCTCCCGCGATCTACGCCTGTGCACAGATTTTCTAGGCTAACCCTCCTCTACCTCGACGTCCTGCCAGTCTCTCCCATCTCCAGGATCCCCAGCCTGATCTTGGCTTTGGAAAAGAACGAGCAATTGGTGACATCCATTACCGGCGCCAGCTGCGCGGATCGCAAACCATCCTCTCCCTGCAGAGTCAGGCGCCTGCACCACCTCCCCGGGATTGCCTCCTTCCATCTCTTCCAGAAACCTCCGCGTACCAAGAGCTGGCAGAGCTCGGCCAGCTCCGCCCCCGTCGGCGTCACTGCCCACTTCGACGCGGGTTGGCTCGCCCATCAGGCAGGTGTCATCCGTCGCACTCACAGCCCCGTCCCGCCCTCTGGTCAGGGCAGCACTGGGCCGATCAGGAACCTTTGCCCTCCCAGAGACCCAACCGGGCTCCCCACACCTACAGGCAGAGCCATGCCTCTCCAAGTCAACCGTGTCCCTCCCTCAGCGCCCCTACGGGGACACCCGGCCTCCTCCGCCCAATGATCCCGAAGCCAGCACAGAGCAGTGACCTCCGCGCCCGCTTCTGGCCGCACCTGCCAAGCGCAGACGCTGCCACCTACCATGCTCCCCAACGCTGCCGAAGAGGCTTCAATTTTCTGCGCAAGCGCACGCTGCTTTCCTCTGCGCGGGCGACCGTCGCCGCTGCTAGCAGCAGGTTTTCTGCGCAGGCGCACTATACTGACGTTCACTTTGGCCGGCTGGGACGCTAACTCAGTCTCCGGTTCTCCGCGTGCAGTGTAGACAGGCGCCCTTCCGGCCTGACGCTCGGCGTTTTGGGCAAACCGTGACCTCTCTTTCGGAGGCTATTGCTGTTTTCTGGCTCTTAGGTTACGCACTAGGAGACCAGCTATAGAAACTACTGTTCCCGGCATGCACAGCGCCGTGCAAAGGCCGATGGAGCTGTCCACCGGCAGCTTGCTTAAAGGGGCCGCGACTACTTTTCAGCAGCACGTCAGAAGAGCCTGAAGTAAAAAGAGGGCGGCGCCGTCCTCCGTGTCCTGGACCCACGCCGACGAAAGGGATGTGGGCAGGCCCACGTCTGTCCTGCTGGCTGCGCCAGGAAGCTCCCGACCGGAGACAGTGATGCTGAGGTCTCAGGTCCAGGGAGCGGCCTCCTCCTTTGGGGTGAGCTCTGCGATTGCGGGACTCCTGTCCTGAGACTGGTTACACCGGGGTCCCTTTCCGGGGAACTCAATCCTGGGGACTCCTACCCGGGGATCCTTCACGGTTTGTCTCTTCCCAAGGGGGAGTGTTCCCTCGGGGGGCTGCCTTTGTTTCCTTTCCTGTGGGGGGCTCCTTCCCGGGAAGTTACCTTTCCAGTGATTTCTTTTCTGGGGGTGGGGAGGGGCTCCTCTTCTCAAGACTTCGTCTAGACTCCAGGATTCAGCTCCCCGAGGTACTGAGACAACCTCTTTTTAAAGGTATACCTGGAAACGGACCCCCCAAGATTGTCTTGAGGGAGGGTGCGGTGCAGGAAGTGCGGTGTCTCGCAACACTTGGAAGCTTATACAGCCTGAGAGGTGTAGTCAACAAGCAACCAAGGTTTACACATTACTCAAGGAGTCCTAGTTCTTAGTTTGCGTGTAGGGTGTGTGTGTGTGTGTGTGTGTGTGTGTGTGTAACCAATCAAGTCTGTTGAAAGTGACTTGGAAGGTCTCTCTAGCACAGTAGGTTTAACCTCTGGCTCCAGCCTTTTGCCAACTCTTAAAAGGAGGGTAGGACCGCATATACCCTAGCGCCTTCGTTTTCAGCATCTAGCTCGGCTATGTGGGGCACAGAGTAGATTTGCTTACACAGAGAAATATTTGCTGCCCACGAAAGGGCCTCGTTCTTCACAGTCTCTGTCTCCTCCTTGGCTTCCCTAACAAGAGAAAGAACAGACACAGGCAGCTGACTAGCGAGTAGGTTCCGTCTCCTTTCTTTGTGGACTTGAGTTGGAACGTCCTGAACAAAGTAGCTATTTGAACCTTTTGTACACCACCAAGAAGCTATGGTTCATGACATCTTATTCCTCTTCCATATTATGTTTTGTTCTTTTTCCAAAGTAGTTTCAAGGATTGGTCTATTAGTGAAATGCTTCTCTCCCCTGCCTAATAATTTCACACAGTACTTTTTTCACTTTTAAAACTTTTTTTTAATTTATTTACTTAACTTTATTATGTTTGTTGGTGTGAAGGTGTCAGATCTCATGGAACTGCATTTTCAGACAGTTGTGAGCTGCCATGTGGGTGCTGGGAATCGAACCCGGGTCCTCTGGAAGAGCAGTCAGTGCTCTTAACCGCTGAGCCATCTCTCCAGCCCCCACTTTTAAAAATTTCTTTTAAAAGGAAGACAAACTATCTTTTTCATTATATATGCCAATCCCAGTTCCCACTCCCTCCCCTCCTCCCATTCCCTCCACCTGCCCTTCCCCCATCCACTCCTCAGAGAGGGTAAGGCATGGTGCTTTGGGGACGGTCCAGTGCCCTCCCTACTGTATCTAGGCTGAGGAAGGTATCCATCCAAAGAGAATAGGTTCCCAAAAAGCGAGTACATGCAGTAGGGATAAATCCTGGTGTCACTGCCAGGGCCCCACTGTCTGCTCCAGCCATGCAACTGTCACCACATTCAGAGGGACTAGTTTGGACCTATGCTGAGTCCTTCCCTGTCCGGCTGGAGTTGGTGAGCTCCCATTAGCTCAGGTAGACTGTCTCAGTCGGTGTTCTCATCATGGTCTTGACCTCTTTGCCCATACTCTCACTCCTCCCACTCTACAACTGAACTTTGAGAGCTCAGTCCAGTGCTCCGATGCAGGTCTCTGCCTCTGTTTCCATCAGTTGCTGGATGTAGGTTCTATGGTGACATTTAAGATATTCATCAGTCTGACTACAGGACAAGGCCAGTTCGGGCCCCCTCTTCTCTATTGCTTAGGGTCTTAGCTGGGGTCATCCTTGTGGATTCCTGGGAATTTCTCTAGTGCCAGGTTTCTTGCTAGCTCTACAATGGCCCCCTCAATCAAAATATCTCTTTCCTCGCTCTCCTCTCTGTCCTTCCTCCATCTGACTATCCCGTTCCCCCAAGTTCTTCTCCCCACTCTTTTTCTCCCCTCATCTTCCCTTTCCAGCCTCCCTATTCCCCCAACCCCATGCTCCCAATTTTGTCAGGTGATCTTGTCTATTTCGACTTTCCAGGTAAATCTATGTTTATTTTTCTTAGGGTTCACCTTGTTACATAGCTTCTCTAGAATCAGGAACTAGGCTCACTTCATTGAACTATAGGCTTCTTTGTTTACAGCCAGTGTCCACTTAGGAGTGAGTTCATACCATATTCCTCTTTTTGGGTCTGTGCTACCTCACTCAAGATGTTGTTTTCTAGTTCCATCCATTAGCGTGCAGATTTCAAGACGTCATTGTTTTTACCAATGAGTAGTACTCTAATGCTCACATAATGCTTTAAAACTCTCCTCAGGGCTCATGAGAATTATCCTGTCATTTACTTCCTCTTTTTTGTTTTCTAATTATTGTAGTCCTTAGGTATGAATTCGTAGACTTTGTCTTTGCCAACTATCTGTTGTGTGTATATGGGGTATAAGTGCCCCTTTCAAGTGTCCTTTAGAATTTAAAGTAAATTTTGCTGTTGGTAGAGTACACTTTTAATCCCAGCACTTGGGAGGCAGAGACAGCTCTGTGAGCTTGAGGTCAGCCAGGGCTACATAGTGAGATTGTCTCAAAAAATAAGTAAACAGATAAATAATAAACATAGCTGAGCACATGTCCTTGTGGCACGATTGAGCATTCCTTTGAATATATACCCCAAAGTGGTATTACTGGGTCTTGAGGAAGGTTGTTTCCTAGTATTCTGAGAAATCGCCACACTGACATCCAAAGGGGTTGCACCAGCTTGCATTCCCATCAGCAATGCAGGTGTGTTCTCTTTTCCCCACAACTTCTCCAGCATAAGTTGTCATCAGTGTTTTTTATCTTGGCCATTTTTACAGGTGTAAGATGGAATTTCAGAGTTGTTTTGATTTGCATTTCTCTGATGACTAACGATGTTGAACATTTCCTTAAGTGTCTTTCAGCCATTTTCGATTCTGTTGAGAGTTCTCTGTTTAGGTCTGTACTCCATTTTTTATTGGATTATGTGATCTTTTGGTGTCCAATTTCTTGAGTTCTTTGTATATTTTGGAGATCAGGCCTCTGTCTGATGTGGGGTTAGTGAAGATCTTTTCCCGTTCTGTAGGCTGTCATTTTGTCTTGTTGACCGTGTTGTTTGCTTTACAGAAGGTTTTCAGTTTCAGGAGGTCCCATTTATTAATTTCCAACTCAGTTTTAAGACTACTAAGAAAAACTAGGTGAAGTAGATCCTTCACTTGTTCTCTCTAGGAGCAGCATTTTGCCCTCTGGGCTGTATACTAGCAGGAAGTTGTCAGCAGTCACATTTGGGATGTTGTTCAGTTGCCTGCTGTGGAAAGTGGCTCAGCTGTGCGAGCCCCAGGTGAGTAAGTGTGTGTAAGCATCTTTGCCCTCGTCTGTTCAGGCCTGTCTAGCTCTTGGGAGTCCCTCCTACTCCTTTTAGCAGCCATCGCCACCACCTCCTGCTCCTAACGCTAAGGACCACTCATCCACGCGGCCTTCCTGCCATGCTGTTGTTTTGAGAACACTAGGTGGACTTTACAGTGTTTTGCTTTTGGGGGATCTCTCCACCCAGTGTTGTGATCTGTCCAAGCTGTTTTATGTGGCTGTTCAGTATTGCAGAAAACCAGAGAGTCTTTCCATTTTATTATTGTCATTATTGCTTTTGGGGGAAAATGTGTTCTTCTTATGTAACCCCGGCTGTCCTCAGACTTTCTATGTAGTTCACAGTGACCTTGAGCTCCTGGCTTTTCTGCCTTAGTTCAGCTTCCTGAGTATTGGGATTGCAAGTGTACACCATCCCACCTGCCATCAAAATGTCTTTTTAACCAATTAAAAATAGCAGCATACTAAAAATGTTTACTAATTTACTAAATTTTAAAAAAATACTATATAAAATATATAGGGTCTTGTAGGCAGATTTGAAGGTAAAATAAAATGAACTTAGGAAAAAGGTGCCATATTTTATGGGTGTCTAGATAATTTCAATCATGTTTATGTTATAAGTATCTTTTATGAAAAATATTCCTGTTTGCACAACTGAATCCTCAAAAAGTTGTTATAAAAAGTAACTCTCAGCCGGGCGATGGTGGCGCACGCCTTTAGTCCCAGCACTCGGGAGGCAGAGGCAGGCGGATCTCTGTGAGTTCGAGACCAGCCTGGTCTACAGAGCTAGTTCCAGGACAGGCTCCAAAGCCACAGAGAAACCCTGTCTTGAAAAACCAAAAAAAAAAAAAAAAAAAAAAAAAAAAAAAGTAACTCTCTCCTGTATGAACTGGAGGATGACTGATTTTAGGGACCTGGTTGGGGAAGGAAGCAGAAATGAGTGCAATACGCCCTTCTCACACACACTGCCTTCTGAGGCGTGAGATCTATAAAATAGTCACATTTGGAGATCTTGATGTGTGGGGGACGATGAGTGACGGGAAGCGAAAATGAAGGATCCCAAGTTCCTGCCCTAGGTCTGGAGAAGCCCCGATGTGCCCTTGTAAAGCGGGACTACGCCCCTTAGGAGCAGGAGGAGGGCAGCAGGAAGCATAGAGGTTACAGATCCGGTTTATTGCCATGTAGGAGGAAATAGTCAGTTTGCTTGTGAGTTGGTCACCCGGGTGGGTAAAGCTGTGTTGATACTGGCACAGAGTAAAGCTATCGAAGCAGTGAGTTCTTTCTCCATACGTGGCTAGCCAGCCTGAGCAGCCAGACTTCTCAAGCCCTGCTGAGACCTGACAGTTGGCTTTCAGTCACAACGTGGTCTTTTCTTGGTGATTTCGATTAGCTAAAATCATCTGAGAGAAGGAAGCCTCAATTAAGATAATATTTTTCTGTCCTTGTGATCAGGGTCCATGTCCAGCTGGTTCCATGGGTGATTCTTAGAGCTTAACTCACCGGATCTATCTAATCTTTGTTTCTGATTTGGTCTGTTTTTCAGCCTCCAAGGTCATTCCTTCTCAGGGACCATTACTGAGCACTGCAGCCACCAGCTTCTAAGACACTGCTGTCACCTGCCTCGTCTTCTTGTCGTCTCAGCTGCACCTGGCACCAAGACCTCCCCACGCCCCAAAACGAGACATCAGAAACCAGGTTCTCTGTTCTTTTTGCAAACACTGATATGTGGTGTTAGTCTCCCTTCAGGGGAAAGGAGGATAAGCCTGAGTCTCAGTGGTGGAAAAGGTTTGAGCCTTTGGTCAAATCCTAGAGTTCCAGGAGCGTCAGACTCTGGAATGTCTACTTCATTAACTACGGCTGACCTGGGAAAACTGACAATACTCCCCAAGGCTCCAGGAAGCAAACAGAGTGGCTAAGCGTGCCACTCAGCACCTCCAAAGACAGTGGCTTCCCATGTGATGGGAAAGTTGATTTTTTTCTTCTGCTTTTTTTTCTGAGACAGGGTTTCTCTCTGTAGTCCTGGCTGTCTTGGAACTCACTCTGTAGACCAGACTGGCCTCAAATTCACGAAACTCCGCCTGCCTCCGCCTCCTGAGTTCCGGGATCAAAGGCGTGCGGCACCACCGCCCAGCAACACGTGGTTCCTCTTGAGTGGACAGGTTCTGTTCTATCACACGTGTCAGTTTATGAAGCTGTATGATTTACTTACTGCACTAGTTGTTGGCTTGTTTCGAGACAAGACATTCTGTGGTGTAGACTGGCTTTGAGCTCCCAGCCGAATCTTCTTTTTCCCTCTCCTACATGCTGGGATTACAGGCGTGTGACATGACTGCCTAGCAGGGCTGTGTTTTCAGCTTTTAAAGTCGTCTCTAAAGTCGAGGAAGCTCCTTCACTCGCCACTTATGGTGCTTTAACATTCAGTGTTTGGTTGTAGTCTGAATACAATAGTTCAGAGGTTGATGTAATGTCTTATCTGTTTCTTCAGCTGAGAATGTGCGTGTAAGATGCAAGCTGGATGTAGCAGAAGGCCCTGCACCCCGACCCTCGTCCTTGGACCATGAAGGTCCTGGATGAGAGCCTCTTCTGGATGCTGCTTCCGTTCTTTCACCTGATAGCCAGCGCTGCCGAGCACGAGGAGGTCGCGAAGCATGCCATCAAGTTACACCGCGGGAAGGGGGCCACCGCCACCCAGAGGAAGCAGTGGGTCCTGGACAGCTGCCGGAGGCTCACCGGGCTCCTGCGGCAGAAGAATGTTGTGCTAAACAAACTGAAGAGTGCCATCCGAGCGGTGGAGAAGGACGCCACACTCTCGGGGGAGGAGAAGCTCTTCCAGGTGCACACTTTTGAGATCTTCCAGAAAGAACTGAATGAGAGTGAGAACTCTGTCTTCCAGGCCATCTATGGATTGCAGAGAGCCCTGCAGGGGGATTACAGAGATGTGGTCAACATGAAGGAGAGCAGCAAGCAACGGCTGGAGGCTTTGAGGGAGGCTGCCATTAAGGTCAGCTTCCAATCTGGGGGGAACCTGCTCTGTCTAGGGATCTGGCAGGGATGGGAGATTGGGGTGGAGTGACACACAAAATTAGGAGGGCTAGCTGGAGGGAACCTTTCTCACAGCCCTGTTTGTGCCATCATTGCTTCCAGAAGGCACCTACCCATGTCATGTAAATCTTAGTGCTCAGCTCAGACTGACTGGGATCGGACTGTATGCTACCTGTAAACTCAGAAAGTAGCCCCGTGCTTGGCACTACGATGCTTGCGGCGTTGCTGTGCTCAGCACATGGTTTGCTGTTAGCAGCGGACCTCCATGGGTGGTGAGCAAGCCTGCTTAGGATGCTTCTTTGCTGTTTCCTTGTTGCTTGCCCTGCATGGTTTTTTTGCTATAAACTCAGTGTATATATATGAGCAGGTAAGAATGTTTGACTCCCTCTGCTGGTCAGAGTTAGAGTTGCACCTGTACAGATGGCCCCTTGTAGGTCTAATCCAGATCAGAGCCCTTAGTGGACGTGAGGAAGTCATAGCCTGGTGTAAACCCTCACCAGATCTTCAATTCTTACAAATCGTTAGGAAGAGACAGAGTATGTGGAACTCCTTGCTGCAGAAAAACACCAAGTGGAAGCCCTTAAAAACATGCAACATCAAAACAAGAGTCTGTCCATGCTCGACGAGATTCTTGAAGACGTGAGGAAAGCTGCGGACCGTTTGGAGGAGGAGATAGAGGAGCATGCCTTCGACGACAATAAATCAGTAAGCAGCACTCCAGGTGACTTCTCCGCCTGCTAAGCCATTATGATCTCATGGGCCCTGGCGTGCTCAAGATGCTCACATGTGCATCTTAGGGAAGCTGAGGATGAGAGGGTACACTAAAACACCTCTGTGCCACATCAGAATTCATGTGGCACGTCCTCAGAAGTGAGCTAGCTGGCCTGCTTTCTCTTGTAACAATTGCAATCACTCCCATATGAATGACTTATCTCAGGCCCCAGCTTGGGTCGGGGCTCTAGACTCGGGATTTGGGGTGGTTGAGTTTTTCGTGCTTATCTACTGGGGCATCTGTTAGATTCTGCAAAAGACAGGATTATAGCAGAAATAGGATTTAGGCTTCTCATTTGTCCGATGTTGAGATCATAAGGGAAAATTCATACTGATGCCAAGAATTGTGGGTCTTGGGGAACCTATAAACGGTTATGGGCTGAAAACAAATCAGAGTAAATGCCGGTGTGTGGGGAGAATAGAAAACAGGGAGGGAAAGGGGCGCTTAGTTCATTCTGGTTTCGGAGAAGAGCTCTAAGGTTTTTCTAGAGCTGCAAATATTTGGAAGAATATACCATAAATCAAGGAATGTGGATGTTTGGAAGTAGCATAAGTCCTAATATTTTTACCTCTAAATTCTTTAGTTGAAAAATTCCCTAATTCTGGCTAATGGATGTTATTGGGTTTGTTTGTTTGGTTTGTTGGAAGTATGGCGTATTGAAGCCAGGGATGTGCACATTGCTAGAAAAGTACCGTACCCCTGGATTACACACCCAGCGCCGTGCCCCTGGATCACACACCCAGCGCCATACGCCGGGATCACACACCCAGCGCCATACCCCGGGATCACACACCCAGTGCCATACCCCTGGATCACACACCCAGTGCCATACCCCTGGATCACACACCCAGCGCCATACCCCGGGATCACACACCCAGCTCCGTACCCCTGGATCACACACCCAGCTCCGTACCCCTGGATCACACACCCAGCTCCCTACCCCTGGATCACACACCCAGTGCCGTGCCCCTGGATCACACACCCAGTGCTATACCCCGGGATCACACACCCAGCGCTATACCCCGGGATCACACACCCAGCGCCGTGCCCCTGGATCCCACACCCAGCACCGTGCCCCTGGATCCCACACCCAGCGCCGTGCCCCTGGATTACACGTCTGGCCTTCTCACTTTTATTTATTGTGAGATGGAATCTTGCCAACTTGCCTATGCCCCCCCCCCCCGAATTCACTCAGTAGTCCAGGTAGTTCTTGAACTTTAAATCCTGTGCCTCCCTGTACAAGATGGGATTACAGATCCTGGCTCCAGACTTAGCATCACTGATTTCTTTGTCACAGGACACTAAAACATTTCGGTTACTCTTTCAGTCTTGTATTCTTTAAATGCTGATGTGAAAGCCCTTAATTCTAATTATATAATATTGGTTATGCTTCCAGGTCAAGGGAGTCAACTTTGAGGCGGTTCTGAGAGTGGAGGAAGAGGAGGCCAGTTCCAAGCAGAATATCACAAAGCGGGAAGTGGAGGATGGCCTGGGCCTCAGCATGCTTATCGATTCCCAGAACAACCAGTATATTCTGACCAAGCCCCGGGATTCCACTATCCCGCGTGCGGACCACCACTTCATAAAGGCAAGCCGTAGCCATCAGCCTGGGGCTGGCCAGTGAGGTTGAGCCATCTCCTGCCTCAACCTTCTTGCTGTCAAAGGCTCCTCCTGATCACTCCCCTGTTCTCTGAGAAGCCTTCCTGTCTTCTTTTCTTTTGTTGAGGTGGGCTGTCACTATGAAGCCTGGGCTGGCCTGGAGCAGTTTGGTCTGAGTTCTCACCAGGCCTCCTGCCTTAGCCTCCCAAGTGCTAGGATTACAGGCAGACAGCACCACATTTGAGTTTTAAGCAGCCTGTCTTGATGGGCAGACAAGACAGGATGCCCAGGGGCTCTGCCCAGCTCACAGCAGGTGTTGCTGTCCGTGGCTATGACTGAACTGTCCTAGAGCTGATTCCCCAGCTGACACCATCAGTTCCCTCCATGGAGGTTGGGGGCCCTCTGAAAAGTTCTCTTCCCCTCCTCTTGTGATGAATAAATAATTTCTATGAAATATTGGAGGCTGGATAAATACCCCGCCCCAAGTCTCACTCACCTGGGGGCCCCAGCACCATGCTGGATCTTACTGTATCACTTACCGAGTAGTGAGAAATCCAAGGTATCATGAATTAACATGTGAGCTCTTAGGGCCCTGAGGCCAGAACACTCAATGGGATTCAAGTGTTCCTGGATCCTAGAATGTTTTTAGAGAGCTTGAACAAACAGACCAACCCATTCAGAGTTGAAGCTCGTCTCTTAGAGCACAGTTTAGGGTTCTCAGCGTGTGTGAGACATCAGGAGTGAGAGCTCATCCTCTCACTTTCCTCACTCGGTTTGTATTCTCGCGGGCTGAGATGAAATCAACGCTCTCCGTCCCGTTCCCCCTCGCGGCCAACCAGTCTGTGTTTATTATTGTTTTCTTTCTGTGTTAGGACATTGTGACCATAGGAATGCTGTCCTTACCTTGTGGCTGGCTGTGTACAACAATAGGCTTGCCTACCATGTTTGGGTATATAATCTGTGGTGTGCTTCTGGGGCCTTCAGGACTAAACAGTATTAAGGTAAGAATAATTCTCACTGTTTTAGTGTCTAATAAGGTGCATGAAACAGATCTGAGCCCAGTCAGTGAAGATACCACTCTAAGATGTCTTCGATGCTTACTTTAATCCACGGGAAGACTGCATTTCTTGGGGCAAGAGGACTTTATGATGGGCTGTCTGTCTCTTTAAATTATGCTAACATTAAAAATTGCCTTTCTGGTGATATGATGGCCGGAGTTGTCCAGACTAACATTCAGACAATAAATCAACTGGAAATGTTGATCTCAGTGTAATTTTATGCAGTTCCTGTGGTTTGGGGAGATGGCCGAAGTCCCAGTCTCAAGAGTCAGTAGACCTGAAGCCATCTCAGGAGCAGGGTGATTGATCCCTGTCATAAGGAAATAAACACACTTCCAGCAGGAAAGAAAGGGTTCCTGGTCATTTTTGAGTACATCACTTAAGTATACTTGGTGGTGGTGGAGTGACAGTGGGAAGAGGCTGCTCAGAGTGGGTGCTGTTAGTTTATTGTGAGGGAACAGTCCAGGAGAGCACAGGACCAGCCTCAGAACCCTCCTCATTTCACTAAGACACCCTGAGAGAGTGGAAGGATGCAGTGCGCAGGGCTCTCTGGTGCACTCTAGTCCACAGTTCTTGGGAAGGACACAGTGCGCAGGGGCCCCGTGGGGCACTCTAGTCCACAGTTCTCAGGAAGGACGCAGTGCGCAGGGGCTCCGTGGTGCACTCTAGTCCACAGTTCTCAGGAAGGACGCAGGGGCCCCGTGAGGCGCTCTAGTCCACAGTTCTCAGGAAGGATGCAGGAGCCCCGTGGGGCGCTCAAGTCCACAGTTCTCAGGAAGAACGCAGTGCACAGGGGCCCCATAGGGCCCTCTAGCCCACGGTTCTCAGGAAGGACTCAGTGCAGTGCGCAGGGCCCTGTGGGGCGCTCTAGTCCACAGTTGTTGAACTGGGTCGGAAGAGCTCAGTGACTTCAGGCTGAAGACTGATCTGAACAGTAAATGATCTTTGGCCAGGAAAAGGGCTGTCTGCCTAGCTGCTCAGACTCTGAGCCTGCTGCCTTCTAGGAAAAAATAGCCTGATGTGGTGGAGGTAGCCCTCCGTCCCGGGAGGGTCTCAAAGGCTTCGCAGCATAGTGAACTGTGCTCCAGGTTCATATTCTGCCCAAATGTTTCCACCGACTTAGAACAGTATAGTAAGATTAAGGAGAAAATCCCTCTGCTGCATCCCTTTCCCATCTAGAGTGTCGAGGGTAAAAGCAAGCACACAGGAGCAGAGATCTCACAAACTGCCAGGTCAGAGTAACTGGGCCACACAACACCTGTGTACTGTGTGTACTCAATTACCTGTACCACAAGAAGTGTTGTGATTCTGAGTAAAGATCCAAGAGCATGCTCGTTAAAAGTGGGGTATGGTCAGCAGGACCAGACCAGTAACGTTTCCCTCTAGGAGCTTGATACGCTTTCATTGTTGAGAAATGGAGGTTTAAGTGTATTCTTTTGGCATCGTAACGATGATCTGACTCAGAAAAGGGAAGGGAAATAAAAAGAAAATAGGAGTAAAGTAAGGAGGCATAAAAACAAGAAGATGTCAAGGAAATAACATCTGGCTGGACAGTAAGTGGACAGGTTCCCTACGGAAAGATAGACTTGATGGCATACAGACAAGAGCATGGTGAACGAGGTGCGGTAAACGTAGAGCAGTAAGAAAGGCTGAAGGCAAAAGGTGTAGATAAACACGGAGCAGGGGTGCTGCAAACTTGGTTCATGCTGGGTTCAGGACGGCATGGGGACTCAGGAACACTGTACCAACCACATGAACACCTTAAAAAATTAAAACCTAAATATATCATCCTGTTTCTTTTCGTTTAGTATGACAGTATTAAAAACAACTGACAAATGAGCCAAGAAAGAGAGACACCAGATTACATAACAGAATCTCTGGGATGTGGCCAAATAGGGGAATTCACTTCATGAGAAAACCTTCCCTACTTAGACAAGCTCATATCCAAACAAGTCAGGGTGAATTGGTCTTAAACTCTGCCTGTTGCTTGTCCGTGTGTGTGTGTGTGTGTGTGTGTGTGTGTGTGTGTTGAGAAAAGGAATAGCAAAGACAGAAGTGACCATGTATTTGAAAGTCAGTGAACCCCACAGCTGCTTCTCAATAGAAACTATAATGAAAATAAATATTTCTCTAGCAAATCTAGAAAGTGTGTGCGTGTATGCATGTGCGTGTGTGTGTATGTGCGCATGCATGTACAAGCACAGGCAGGAAGTCAAAAAGATCTCCGATATAAGGGAAATTCACATAATTCATTTTTTTTTTTAAAAAAATGGGTTTTTTGGTGGGGGTGGAGGGCCGGGGAATACCCTCCATAATCAGCGTGTGTTCTTTTGTTAATATGTGCTAAGTAAAGAAAGCACCCAATAATAAGCTTCCTTGTTCTCAGTCCATTGTACAGGTGGAGACACTGGGAGAATTCGGGGTCTTCTTCACCCTGTTTCTTGTCGGCTTGGAGTTTTCTCCGGAAAAGCTGAGGAAGGTAAGGACCCAACCCCTCTGCTATTGCCTGGGGGCAGCTAGGTTTACTCACTTTTTCTTTTTAACTCACATAGAGTCTGCTTGGCTATTAAGTGTCTGTTGTTTTTTTTTTTTTAACTAATTTCTTAAAAATAATAGTTAAGAATAAGTGAATTTTAATTTAGTTTGATACTTTTTTAAGATAATAAATTTGAAAATGTCAAAACTTAGTGAGTGGGATGAATTTCCACGTGGCTTTGTATGGGTCCCTCTAGGGAAATGTGAAACCGAGGGTGAAATATGATAGAGACTTAATACGCAGTGTATTTCTCTAGAAGAACGTTCCTACGATGAAAAATGAATTAGAGATTTTTACCTCAAAAACAAGGGAACTAACTTCTTTTTGTTGTTGTTGTTGTTTTGTTTTTTTCAAGACAAGGTTTCTGTGTATAACAGTCCTGGCTGTCCTGGAACTTACTCTGTAGTCCAGACTGGCCTTGAACTCACAGAGATCCACCTGCCTCTGCCTCCCAAGTGCTGGGATTAAAGGTGTGCGCCCCCACCACTGCCTGGATTGGGGGGGAGGGAATAGCTTCCTAAAAATTGAAGGTGTTAGGGAATAAAACGAGTACTATTGGAGACCTGGTTTGGTGCTCCATATCCCCAGTTCTAGTATTTAGAAAGTGGAGATCCCTGGCCTTGCTGGCCAGCTAGTTTACCCTAATCATCCCCCAGGACAGGGAAAGACCCTGTCTCCAACAGGTGGTCAGACAGTACAATGACCGAGCATGTGTCCCCTGTTCACTGCATGTATGTGCTGTGCACGTACACACACACATTCGCTGCCTCTCCTTCCTCCCAACTTGCACACACATATGCACACAAATTTACCAAAAAGGAGTTTTAACTCCTCATGTTTAAGAAATGTTGGAGGTAGGTATGGTGGCACCTAACCTAATCCCAGCGCTCAGGACGCAGGAGCAGGTGGATCTCTATGAGTTCAAGGCTAGCCTGCTCTACATAGTAAGTTCCAGGCCAGTTAGGACTACATAGTGAGACCCTGTCTCAAAACAATAAGAAAAATAAAACAGGACAGCTGGGGACTGGTGCAATGGTGCAGCATGTACAAGGGATTGCCACCAACCCTGACCACCAGAATTTAATCTCCAGGACCCACACTGTGGAAGGAGAAGATCAGCTCCTGCAAGGTGTCCTCCAGTCCACCTAGGCAGCCTGTGGCACTTCCCCACAAATCAGTACATGTTAGAAGATGCTGTAAATGATGTGAATAAGTAATGGCTAACCAGCAGCCTAACTGCCTGATGGAACGTTAGGTAGTCATGAAACACTAGAGTATAGAAACAAGGAAAATGTTTGTTATGGCACTCACCCTCAGCAAAACTGGGGGCTGGCGAGATGGCTCAGTGGTTGAACCTGTGGCTCAGTGGCTGAAGAGATGGCTCAGTGGTTGAACCTGTGGCTCAGTGGCTGAAGAGATGGCTCAGTGGCTGAAGAGATGGCTCAGTGGCTGAAGCTGTGGCTCAGTGGCTGAAGCTGTGGCTCAGTGGTTAAAGCGATGGCTCAGTGGCTGAAGAGATGGCTCAGTGGCTGAAGAGATGCTCAGTGGTTAAAGAGATGCTCAGTGGCTGAAGAGATGGCTCAGTGGTTAAAGCGATGGCTCAGTGGCTGAAGAGATGGCTCAGTGGCTGAAGAGATGGCCTTTGTGAGGGTTCCAGACTGGGCTGCATACAGTCAGAAGTGATATGGAAAGAAAGCATATTACACAATAGCAGTGTAAAGAGGCAAGCACACACAGGAGACAACAGGGGACAGCTATGGTTGCACCCTTCTCTGTTTTTCAAATTTTCTACAGCACTTCAAAAAAAAAAAAAACCGAAAAAAAAGACACATTTATTTTTGGAGGCTTTTTAAAAATCTATTTTGTTCATATTTGCTCCCTCCCCCATCTCCGCCCATATCTACCTTCACTCCCCTAACCCACAACTTTGTGTGTCTCTCTCTGGTTTTTATTCTTTGAGAGGTTCAAGTTCATATAATACATTTTGATCATATTCAGGCCCCCAACTCTTCCCAGATCTGCCTGCCCAAATTGGGTCTGTTTTATTTTTTAACCTGTAAATACAAATTTATGCTCCCTAAATATCCTGGGATGTATGGTCTTCAGATGGAGCACGGTCATCTTATAAGGGGCTGCAGTCTTAGAAAAAGCCGTCTCTCCCTCTCCCAGCAGTGAGCTGTTGCCATCCATGCCGGAGCTAGGGGTGTGATTGTGTGCCTGTCTCCATACGGGGATTTTATCTGGCTCGGGCTTGTATCCGTTTTGTGCCTGCTGTCACAGCTGTGGTGTCAAGATGTTTCTCTGTAGCCATCACTGCTTCTGGCTCTTACACTCTTTGACACTTCCTTCTAAGGTGGTCCCTGAGCCTTGGGAAAGGAGCTGCGGTATACGTGTTCCCTTTAGGGCTCTGCAGAGACTGCACCCTGCAGTCTCTCATTCTCTGCGCTTTGGCCAGTCGTGGGTCCCTGCGTTACTAACCATCTCCTGCATTTAGAATATGCTCAGGTGATCTGCGGGTATAATGCTGAGTCATTAGGAGTCAGTTTAATGCTATGTTCATTTACCAGAACAGCAGTGCTAGTTCCCCCTCTGGAGCCTATGTCCCATCAGGCCATAGGTTCTTGGCTCAGTGATGGTGCCAAGTTTGGTTTTCACCTTGTGGATCTGGGCTTGCATCTAAGCAAGAGGTGGTTGGTTACTCCCATAATGTTTATGCCGCTATTGCACCGGTGGGCATGTCTTGCCAAGCCAGTCACTGCCGTGGCTTGCATGACTGACAGCTGGTTATGATTAATCATTCCTTTTTTCCTCCAGTAGCCTGCACGGCACCTTGTAGTGCTGTGAAAGGGTTTTTGTTGCTGTTGTTCCTGAGATTCCTCATAGACTCTTGATAGAACCTTATATTCATTATGTAGCCCAGGGTTGCCTTAACATTGTGGCAATCCTCCTGCCTCTGCCTCCTATGTACTGGAATTACAAATGTGTTCACTCACTCCTAGCTGTCTGCTTTTCTTTCTTCCTTCCTTCCTTTCTTTCCTTTTTAAAACTTTGCTGAAAGCTCTGTTAATCTGTCTTATCTCACCGCCTGCATCTTCTGAGGAGTTCTGAGCTGTTAGTGCCATCTTCCAGGGAATCTGTCTGATTCACCACCTGCTTCTTCTGAGGAGTTCTGAGCTGTTAGTGCTGTCTTCCAGGGAATCTGTCTGATCTCACCGCCTGCATCTTCTGAGGAGTTCTGAGCTGTGTTAGTGCCGTCTTCCAGGGACTCTGTCTGATCTCACTGCTTGCTTCTTCTGAGGAGTTCTGAGCTGTTAGTGCCATCTTGCAGGGACTTTGGTCTCTTCATGTGCTTCTGACATCATAAACCACAGATGTTAATTTCTAAACTCAAAGTTCAAAGAAAATTAACCATTTTTCTAGATCCTAAATTTTAAAAAAGGCCCCATTTTTCCTATGCATTCTCTTGAGGAACATGGGGTAGGGAGGGAATAAGCTTGGTAGAGGGATTTCTGGAGTGCCCAGCCATGTTAGCGTAAGCCAGGCTCAGCCATCACAGGTGCCATCTTGGGCAGGCTTCATGGGAACACGTGCCCTCTGTTTCCAAGTACACTGGCTTGTCTGGGATTGTATAATTAAAGACATTCAGTGCAATTCATGGAAAGCAAGGCAGGTAAAGTTCTGTTCCTCTATAACGAGCCACAAGACCTTCCGCAGGGCTCTGACCCTCCTGGATGTCAATTGGGACATCATCTGTAGTGGAGAATTTTGATAATGTTTCCCCTGGTTTCCATAATTAAATTTGTGTCTGTAGTGCCCAAGGGTCATGGTGAGAGACATTCTGTGACATTGCTAGCATCGTGGCTGTGAGCACTGTAAAGGCAGCTTGTGGTTGGTAGAAAACATCTGATAGTGTTTTCTGAAATGGTAGCAGTTGATGGACACCCTCTGCGGACTCTGAATCCTCAGATTAGAAACAGCCAGAGTTCCTGGGGTCTGGAAGAGCTTCCTAGTATGGCAGAGAATGCAGTCTCCCTACCTTGAGTGCCCATCCCTGCTGAATGCTTAGTCTGGGTTCTTGAACCTGCCAGGACCTTTCTCACTTTCCTGCTTTGAAATCGACTTAAATTGTTCTCTTTGTTCTGAGACACTGGTCTAACTGTAGTTAGGGCTGCCCTGGACCTCAGATCCTCCTACCTCATCCTCCCTAGTGCTGGGATTACAGGCTCATGCTACTGACCCCTTTGAACCAACTGTTGTTCATTTTTATCTTCAGTTCATCAGTTACTACCTCTCTCCAAATAAATTTTGAATCATGGGGAGCCAGAGTTGTTTTCTTCTCTTATCTTCTGCTCTCCTAGCAGGTTCTTGCTCTGCACCCGTGGTGTTCAGCCCCTTTGCAGCTGTGGGCATGGTGCATTAAGCCCCGCTGTATTGCTTGACTTTAGGGTTTCAGAGGATGTGCCTTGAAGAGAAACCTAACCAGAGAAACCTAACCAGCCTGTGGGGCTGGTACCCAACTGTCTGGGGATTACAGCTATTGTGGGAAGTTTGCCAATCTGAGCTTCCTAATTCCTCTTTGTAGGAATCATCTGGGGATAAAGCCCACATGGTCTGACCCAGAGTGAGCTGTAGGCTGCACTTCAAATGCATTCTGGGCCCCATGCTAACTGGAAACGGAACGTCTGACTGACCCCACTTGTACCTGAACTGTGCCCCCTCCGCACCCCCCCCCCCCCAGGCAATCCACGTGCTGGAGAAGTGCTGGAGATGGTCTCCTCTCACAGGGATCCCAGAGTCCTTCTGTCTCAGAGATCATTGAGTCTCACTGTTCCTCCCTCCAGATGTAGAAATGAAGCTGTAGAGTGTGTTCCTGAGTTCATGGCTAGTAATTGACAGATGCAGTCTTCAACTCCAGGAGGTTTCGGAAGCCAGCTCAGCAGTTCAGCCTCATGAATTCAGGGCAGTTACTCCTGTGAACACAGTTGGCAGTTTTTTTTTTTTGTTTTTTTGTTTTTTTTTTTAAACAGTCTCACCAACCCTCAAACGGCCTGGAGTGCCTCTGTTCGTGGCAGGAGTGTTAAGAAGGGAGTTTGCTCCAGAGCACCACTGTGCCTGCCAAGTACAGGATTGGAGAGAAAGGGCCTCTGGGCATCTGGAACCAGCCTCCGTGGGGCTGCCCATCCCTACCCATAACTGGGCATTGTGGGCGCTCAGCTGAGTGCTCAGGTGACAGGACTTGGAAATCTCAGTCTCTAACTTTGAAGCATGTCCACCTTCCTATTTCCAGAAGAATGAAATTGTTACCCAACAGTAGAGCAGGGATGCAAAGGTCGCAGGCTGCAAAGCATCCACAGGAGAGCCATAGGAGGCTAGCCCTGTAGAAAACCTCTGTTGGCCTCTGCCTCATGGCTCCACAGGGCAGAGGCAGGTGGATCTCTGACTTCAAGGCCAGTACAGAGTGAGTTCCAGGACAGCCAAGGCTACACAGAGAAATCTTGTCTCAAAAAACAAACAAACAAACAAACAAACAAACAGTGTTTATACATATACTAGAGGGAACAGAGAAGTCACATGTATAAATGACCCATAGTCAATGTTTCATATTGTGGGTTCTGCATACATGGACTCAGCCAACTGCAAAATGAACATATTTAGAAACAGGTATTTCTATATTGAATATACAATAGGTTTGTTTTGTCATTAATTCCCTTATTAATACAATATAAATATTTGCATAGCCTTTATATTGTATTGAGACTTATAAGTCATCTAGAGATGACTTAAAATCTACAGGAAGGCATAAGTATTGCCCCTTTTTAATAGGAAGATTTGAGCAGAGTTGGAGAAATGGCTCAGTGGTTAAGAGCACTGGCTGCTCTTCCAGAGGACCTAGGCTCATTTCTCAGCACCCACATGGCAGCTCACAAGCTTCTGTAATTCCATTCTCAGGGGACCTGACACGCTCTTCTGGGTTCCATGGGCATCAGGCATGAATACGGTGCATTGACAAACATGCAGACAAAATTCCCATATACATAAAAGTAAATAAATAAAATTTTAAAATAAAAGATTTAAGCATCAGAGGATTTCAGTATCTTGTATTTGGTGGGGGTAAGGGAGCTATACCCAATCTCCAGGGATACTGTGAGATGCTCGTACTTAGCGTCTGTGCCTGAGTGTGTTGCAACCTGGGATGTGTGTTTACTATGTCTGAGTATATGGGCCGTGAGTTCCTTCTCTCCTGAAACATCAGTTCTCCGCTCTGGCCCTAGTCCAGAGATGGGCTCTTGTCTCTGGAACGTGCACGAATCTATGTGTTCTTTTCAAGGTGTGGAAGATATCCTTACAAGGACCTTGTTACATGACACTACTGATGATTGCCTTTGGCTTATGGTGGGGACACCTTCTGCGGATCAGACCCACCCAGAGTGTCTTCATTTCCACCTGTTTGTCCTTATCAAGCACACCCCTGGTGTCCAGATTCCTCATGGGCAGTGCCCGGGGTGATAAAGAAGGTAGGTAAGCAGCATGTTCTAAGTATGTGCGTAGCTAATGTTCGTGCGCAGCTCACCTGCAGACTCATGACTGGAGGCCTGCGAGGACGAACTGTGAGCCCTCCTTCACAGGACTGTTCAGCTGTTAGTGGCTCCTCGGGTACATGTTCAGCCCTTCAAGGGGCTATTCTGCTGCTGACGTCAGTGCCTCCATGCGTTCTGCTGGGTTAAAAGGAGCACCCATTGCGTGCTCATGTGTTTATCATCACTAGAGAGCTAGAAAGAAACCAGACCAGGACCAGAAGACCACACAGCTACAGCACAGTGTGTGGAGCCTGCGGAGGTGGTAGCTTACGAAGGCGCCCATGTTCTTGTTGGTCTTTTTAGTTGTAGCAGCATGAGGCGCTCACACAATTGGTGAATTTTTCTGTGAAACCAGAGCCTTTCAGCAGTGACAAAACCGTTCTCTGCTTGGTTTGTTCTCTATGTGTGTGAACTGTGGTCCTCTCTGAGTCGCTGCTTGGGGTGGTGAGACCAGAGCAGCACGGAGCAGTCACAAGAGGCCTTTAGAGTCAAGCTCAGCGTCTCTGGCAGCAGTAATGTTTTCACATACACTTGTTCACGGGGATGTCGGTGTTTGATTCTTACTTACTTAGTTACTTCGTGAGTAACTCACGAGGCCAAAATGCCATGGTAACATCAATTGATGCCTTGAGTACATCTGGATTAGAAGAGGAACTGTAAAAAAACAAAACAAAACAACAACAAAAAAAGAGGCATGGTTAACTCCTCTAGTGAGATTCAAACTGCTGTACTGGGCATAGAACTGCCCCGAGCCTCCTGAACTCTTAATCTGGGTGGAGCTCTGGAGAACCAATGGAACTGTCCCCAACACTTGTAGTATGACCTGGGGGTAAGGAGTTTCTCACTGGTGAAAGAGAAAACTGCAGATCCTGTGAGACCTGTGGGCTCATGGGGTATGGGTGTGACATTTTCTCGGGCGACGCATCTTGTTGTCACTACTGTAGTGGCCACATCAGTGGGGATCCAGCAGACAGGTCCAGTATCCCTGTGGATTTCATCCCAGGTATCACTGGGATACAGAGCTAGGGACACAGGCAGAGAAGGCGGGGCAAGCAATGAAGTACGAAGTGTCTTCTGACTGGTGGCCTGCATGTGAAGAACTCTGCTTCCAGAAAGGACAGCTGTCAGCCTCTGTCCGTGAGTCCCTCCTTCACAAGAGTATTCACTAGACCATACCGGCACGATCGAGTGCCTGAGAACCTAAACAAAGGTCACGTCTGTAATTAGATCACATTCCAAAAGCTTAGAACAGGCAAGAAACCTTTAGATGCAGAAGAGATGGAAAGTCTGACCTGTGTGTAGGAGAAGTTGCAGAAAGTGGCTGGTGGTTTTCCAGACCTGGAGGAAGACAGGAAGCTTGGGTTTGAAGTACGTCTCTAAAACTGAATGGGAAAATTGAAGTTTGCCCTAGTCATGTCATCTCTAGTTCAAGGAGGTCTCAACACTCAACGGAATAGACAAGTGGCCCAATAGCACGTGCCTTCTCTGTACCATGAGGTCATGTCAAAAGACAGAGCACCTGGGAGAACAGGTCACAGATGCAGAGATGTGACCAAGGGCAGGGCTGGTGACATCGTCCTATCCCACACTATAGGATAACAAGAGTAGAGGGTCCAGAGGGCTGGGGAGCATGCCAGGGAAACAGTGAGGAGCATGAGATTTTTCAGACCTGGACTACTGGGGACTGCTTAGCAAGGAGGCTGGTTTTGCTTCATTTTAAAATTCACAAAGGTCACACCAAAACCATAGGAAAGGTCAAAGGACGTGCTGCTGTTGGTTCCTTTGGCAGGGATGCTGATAAGAGGACTGTAGACTATGGCAAGCAGTTTATAGTTTATCGTGTTAGGAAGGTGGTGCCCCTGCACTGTCATGAGATGTGATGGAGGAAGAGAGGCCGTGACTGGGAATAGAGCTCCATTGGTAGAGCACTCACCTAGAATGCATGAGGACTTGGGTTCAATCCCCAGTACTGCGTGAACCAGGCAGAGTCGATTGGGCCTGTAATCCCTGCACTTGGGTGGGAGAGGCAGGGGGATCACAAGTTCAAGATCATTTTCAGCCATGTCCTGGGCTAAAGATCTTGTCGTCGTCGTCATCTTCTTCTTCTTCGTCGTCTTCTTCTTCTTCTTCTTCTTCTTCTTCTTCTTCTTCTTCTTCTTCCTCTTCTTCTTCTTCTTTTTCTTCTTCTGTTTTAATGTATAGTAGTAATATAATATAAAAGAAATTTGGGGAATCTCTCAAAAGGTGTGTGCTACCCTTGAGTAAGAAAAAAACATACTGCAGCATTCCTGAAGATTAATCAGGGAATTTGTCTGTGGTCATGGATAAAAAGGCCTAATCTATGAGATGTTATTTCTCCTTGAATTTGTAAACTCACAGCAACTTCAGATTCATTAGAGGCCAAGAGGCCGGAATGGCCCTTGAGGACTGAGTGAGGAGAGGCTGGGGAGATGGTTCAGTGAGTAAGAGCATCTGCTGTTCTAGCAGAGGACTGCGATTCGGTTCTCAGCACCTACATAGCAGCTCATACATGCCCTTCTCTTTAGCTTCAGTTCCAGGGGATCCAGTGACCTCTTCAGGCTTCCTAGGGTGCTGTGTGCACAGGGCACAGATACATATACACAGGCAAACCACTCACACACATAAAGTAAACATAATAAATACATTTGAAAACTATTGAGTGAAGAGCCCTCCAGATGACAGGACTCCCTGTGGCTGTGACAAGGTAGTAGAGCCTTGCCACAAGCACTCGTGGAACTGAACAGCCGGCCCAGGTGCTCCAGGTACGTTGGAGGAATTGGGGAGTCACTGATGAGAAAAGCTGCCCTGTTGGAAAGGATGGAACCAGAGCCCTTCCCTGACCTGGAAAAAGCAAGCTCACATGACTCAGCAGCAGCACATGAGGGGCGGAGCTTGAGAGCTACTGAAGGGGAGAGAGACCATAGTCCAGAGACCCAAGACCGTAGTGTCCACTCCCTAAAGTAAAAAACGCTGACCCCAAAGGAAGACAATGAGAGAGAGCTGTGAGCACAGTAAAACATAGACTGGGCATGGCAGTGCACACCTTTAATGTCAGCACTCGGGAGGCAGAGGCAGGTGGATCTCTGTGAGTTCAAGGCCAGCCTGGTCTACAGAGTGAGTTCCATGACAGCCAGGGCTACACAGAGGAACCCTGTTGCAAAACCCCAAATAAATAATAAATGAGCACAGGCCAGGGACAACTTTGGCTCACTCTGCAAAATAGTTTGTTTTAGTTACCCTCCTTGTTGCTGTGGTGGAAATAACCCTGACAAAAGCAACCCAGGCAAGGAAGGGTTTATTTTCACTCACGGTTTTGGGGAGTCGAGGTATCAGGAACTTGATATAACTGGTTTGTCTGCAGTAAGGAAAAAAGTGCAATGGTGCAATGAATGCGCCAGCTCAGTTCCCTTTGTCCTGTTGGCAGTGTAGGACCCAACCTGAGAAATGGCTCCGCCCACATTTGGAGTCGGTCCCGCCTCCACCTCTTCAAGATAATCTTCACAGGCTTGGCAAGAGACTAGCCTCATCTAAATAGTCTCCTTACAGGTGTGCCTAGCAGGTGTCCCTCAGGTGGCTCTCGACCCCTGTCAGGTTGACAACAATGTAAGCATCCCTGGACCCAGAGCAGGAACCTCTGTAAGGCCCTACAAATTGCTGCCCACGGGAAATTATCAGAACACGCCTTGTGGGAGCAGACACCCGGGTGAATAATTACAAAGATTCTGCTTCTTGTGAGCACCCTAGAGAGACATGCTAATACCACCACGGTGCCATTTCCCATTGTCCTTTTGAGTGGAGGAGGAGGTGCTGTTCTGCTCTTGTTTTGTTTTGAGACAGCATCTCAAAATGTAGCCCAGGCTGCCCTCAGACTCGCTGTCTTCCTGCTGTATGTCGACTTTAACTAGCCTTGATAGAATGTCGAGTCTCAGGAGCCTCTGCACTCTAAGTGGACCCAATGTCTTTGGAGAATGATTTCAAAAGAGAAAATTCTCTTTCTAACTATATGCCCTAAAAGAGTCTTATAAAAGAATATTAAAGACAGCGTTACTTTCAATAACAAAAATCACTAATAATGTAAGTGTTCAATCATAGACCAGACAATGCCATCAGTAGCATAGTCACTGGGAAACTGTGAAACCAATCGGAGCTAGTCTTAGGATCAGAGGAGACGCAGAGATGCAGCGCATGTCTGTGTTGATCCAATGTCAGGTTTGGAAACAAGAACTTTCACCCCAGCAGCCCAAGGAGACATCTGAATGATGAACCGGGGGTGGAGAGGGGAGGGCTTGCGACAGCAGCAGCAGCTGGGAAAATGCCACTGCGCATCCTGTGCCGCTCTGTTTTGCTCCATCCACAGGTTTTGCAATTGCTTATAAGAACAAGAGGTAACCGCTAAGGTGGAAATGCAATCTGTAGTTCTGCTTTACTGCGTGTTTAGGAAGAGCCCCTTCCTGTAGAAGGACATGCCAGGGGAGGTGGAGGGGGAGGGACTTGCTCTGGTGGTTTGCAGAATGTGGGAACCTGCCACCTGAAGGGCTGAGTCTGGCTTGTTAGGGGCTGAGGGTAAGGACAGAGAGCTCCTGTTCCCATTATCCAAGCATGTCGTCTTGTTTGCCACAGTGTCTTTTGGTAATGGCATTTTGCTATAATTATATTAATAGCAAGCCATAGAAATCAGGTATTTTGGTGATTTTCTTTATAAAATGTTTTTAGGGCAATGGTGTACACTTGTAGTGCCAGCTACCTGGAAGACTGGGGCAGGAGGATTGTTTGAGCCTACGAGCCAGGCTGGGCAACATAGTGAAAACTGCCCATACCCATCTCAAGCAAAACTAGTAAAAAAAAAGTCTTTGAGAGCAAACATTGATTTTAAAAGTTATAACCCTTTTAAGGTTTTTCTTGAGATAGGCCTCGTAATTATGTTGCTCAGGATGGCCCCAAACTCTTGTGCTAACAGGGTCCTTCTGCCTCGGCCTTGCAGTAGTTAGGCCTACAAGTGTGCCCCACCTACTGCTCCAAAGAGACTTGAAAGTCGTTTTTACTTAAGTTCTGAAGATTTTGTGAATTATTTTGAAAATATGTTAAGTCCTGTGATATTTCTTGCTTTAACTTTACTATTGTGCGGGTGTATGAGCATGTGCCGTGGTGTGCTTGTGGAGCTCAGACAGCAACTTTGTGGAGGCAGCTCCCCTCCCCCCTTGCCATAGGCTCTGGAGACTGGATTCGGGTTGACAGACATGTGTGCAGTCACAGTCCCCCAGGGCCTTGGTTTGGACTGGGCACTGCGTCACTAAGCCTTGGTTCTGAGTAGCTGTCTCACCAGCAGGTGACATTGACTACAGCACAGTGCTGCTTGGCATGCTGGTGATGCAGGACGTGCAGCTGGGGCTCTTCATTGCTGTCATGCCCACACTCATCCAGGCCGGAGCCAGCACATCTTCCAAGTAAGCATCCGTATCATGTGCTTGTCTAACTTAAAGTTGTTTGTTTATAAAAATGTTCCACAAGACCAGGTGGTGATGGTGCAACCCTTTAATCCCAGCACTTGGGAGGCAGAGGCAGGCAGATCTCTGATCTCTGAGTTCGAGGCCAGCTGGTCTACTGAGGGCGTTCCTGGATAGCCATGGCAACACAGAGAAACCCTGTGTCAAAAAACAAAACAAAACAAAAAAGCTACACAATACCTTTCCCAGTGTGGTCTCTAACTCATGTCATATGTGTCTCTGAGCATAGCCTGTGGTGACACCACCAGGCTGATCCTGGCTTTGTTGTCTACCAGCTCCTGGACTGGAAGATTACACAACCTCACTGCTCCCCTCTGTGGTTATGGAGTGGAATGGTAACTCACCTGTTCTAAGGCAATCGGAGGCTTTAGTGAGTCAGTAGGTGTACATGTCCAGGGTAGCCTTGGGAAAGCAGTGATCTATATACATAGATGTACATAGATAAATGCATAGACATATGTCTTTGCATGTGTGCCATGCCCTGTGGTGATGTAGAAGAGACGTTGGGTGGATATCAACTGCTGTGTCCTTCATTCTTTTCATTCTTCCCCACAAACAGCCCAAGCCTACTCAGCCCTTGCTTGGTCCGTATGAAAGGAAAAGTCAACTAAAAATTAACTTGACCAAAAAAACCTTTGGTTATGTTACAAGTCCAGCTGGCCTCCAGGAATGGCAGAAAGAATATAAGCACAGATGAAAAATATAGGGAGCCCTACAGAATTAGGAAGGTGGAGAGAAAGACAGAGAGTAGACACACTCTAACTGACTCTTATAAACTGTGCTTATCTCCTGTAGACATGTAGAGTCCTTCTGACTCTAGCTTTATTATATAGCATCTCCAGAGACCAAAAGCTGTCAGTTGAGACTGTGTGTGTGTGCATGTGTGTACATGTGTGCATCTATGTATGGTGTGTATGTGGGGGGCTCTACATGAATGTATGTGGATAATGTGTATGCATGTGTGTGTGTGCATGTTTGTGAATGTGTGCATCTGTGTATGGTGTGTGTATATGTGTATGTGTGTACATGAATGTATGCTTATGGTGTGTGTGTGTGTGTGTGTGTGTGTGTGTGTGTGTGTGCAGTGTACTCATGGGGCGTGCATGCTGAGGAGGATATCAGGTGTCCCGCTTTATGACTCTGCCTCATTCCCTTCAGGCAAGGCCTCTCACTGAATCTGGTGCTAAACTGGCACCAGCAAGCCCCAGGCTCCCCCATTTCCGACCCCCACAGCACAGGGGTTTTGAGCATGCATGTGGCCATACTCAGCTCTTTTTGGTTGCTGTTACTGTTTGAGACAGGGTCTTACTGTGTAGCTTTGGCTTACCTGGAATTTGCTATGTAGACCAGGCTGGCCTCAAACTCCCAGAGATCTACCTGCCTCTGCTTCTTGATTAAAAGGATTAAAAGCGTGCATGACCACACCTGGCCTTTTTTTTTTAAAATGGGTGTCAAGTATTTGAGCTCAGATCTTCATGTTTGTGGAGCAAATGCTTTCATCCACTGGTGTCTCCCCAGTTCTGGTGTTCTCTTAAACTTCCTAAAAAACTTATTTCTCAGCCGAGCAGTGGTGGCACATGCCTTTAATTCCAGCACTTGGGAGGCAGAGGCCTGCGGATCTCTGTGAGTTCAAGGCCAGCCTAGTCAAGAAGTGAGTTCCAGGACAGGCTCCAAAGCTACACAGAGAAACCCTGTCTCAACAAAACAACAACAAAACCAAACTTATTGACTCTAAAGCAGAGATCCCAAAACAATCCACATTTGAGGCATATGACTTAATTTTCTAAGTTAATGTAATATATAGATTGTATTTTAGCATTTAAAAACAAACTGTGTATGATTCAGTTATTTACCTTGTAACATGTTAAAGAAAATATTTTCAGATGATTTATAGACCTTAAAGGACTATATTTGGAGGTGAAATGCCATCTCTCTCTTTTCTTTCTAGCGTTATCATGGAAGCGCTGCGGATCCTGTTTCTGATTGGACAGGCCCTCTTTTCGCTGGCTGCCATTTTCCTTTTATGTCTGATCATAAAGACTTACCTCATAGGCCCGTACTACCGAAAACTGCACGTGGAGAGCAAAGGGAACAAAGAAATCCTGATCCTAGGAGTGTCTGCTTTCATCTTTCTGATGCTGACGGTAATCCTCAAGTATCTGTAGTTCCTGTGGCCCTGTGTGCGGTCTGTCTCACTGGAGAAGCGGTTAAAGCATTGACACTCGGAATGTTTATCTCACACACACAGTTTATCCTACTGAACCTTTGATCATTACCAACCACTTTGGAGAAATATGATTTGTGAGTGCTGCATTTATTTTGTTTGTGTTTCGAGACAGGGTTTACATTTTTTAAAAACAGACGTGTATTCATGAAAAGGCACAGAAACACATAACTATCCTAAGCTTCACACAGCTTTGCATTCAAAATAGCAGATCAAGTTTCAAACCATTTTTCATTTTTTTCTGGTGAGATGAGCTAGTTAATGGTATGACTTCTGTTGCCATAAAGAGGACTTTCAAACAGGTCCATGTATGCATTTGAAAGAGAGCAAGGGGACGGGTATAAGAGGGCTTAGAAGGAAGCAAGGAGGGAAATAATGTCATCTTAGAAAATAAAAGAAGTGAAAATGTGGGGCTGGAGAGATGGCTCAGGGGTTAAGAGCACTGACTGCTCTTCCAGAGGACCTGAGTTCAATTCCCAGCACCCACATGGTGGCTCACAACCATCTGTAATGAGAGATCTGGTTCCCTCTTCTGGTCCGCGGGTATACATGCAAGCAGAACACTATACATAATAAATAAATAAATACATATTTTAAAAAAAGACTTAAAAATAAAGTAAGACAAACCAGATTTGTGTTAGAAAGTAGACTTCTCTTGAGAGAGTGGGGGAAGGTCAGGGGCATCCTTAAGTAGCTTAAATAGCAAGGCGGAATTGCCACACACCTCCACCGTGTTGCTCAGCAGCCGTGCAACCTGGCACTTACCCCAGAAAAGTGAAGGTGGACGTTCACTCAGAAACTCATGAATGTTCACGGCCAAATCCAGTGTGATTGTTCTTCAGGGTGAGTAGTAAGATGCTGTGGTCTATAGGGCCGGGGAGACGGTTCTGTTGTTAAAGTGTTGGCCTTGAAAGCAAGAGGTCCTGAGCTTGGGTCCCCAGACCCACTGCAAAACCCAGGCAGTGACAAGGTCCTGTAATCCACAAGTGAGGTATTGTGGGGCAGGGGCAGGGGCAGGGGCAGGGGCAGGGGCAGGGGCAGAAGTGTCCCTGGGTTTGCTTGCCATGCAGTCTAGCTGAACAGCTAAGCTTGAACTTCAGTGACACACCCTGTCTCCAAAAATGAATACATAAAAGCAAAGCAAGAGGGAGTGTGGTTGGATAAGCACCTGAAGTTGACCTCTGACCTCCATAAGTGCACATGCACACACATCAACATGCATGCACTAAATAAACAAGGAGAAACTATGGCCTATCCATAGCAGGTAATGCTGTCCTACAGTAAAACTGTTGTCCCCACAAAGCCCAGGGAGCCATGCAGAGCGAAGGAGCCATTCTTCAAAGGCTGTATATGGCTGAGTGAATCCGTTTGTATAGTACTCATTAAATAGCAGTTTCAGAAATTAAGGAAGGAAGTGAGTGCTAGGGGTTGGGAAAGGCTGGCAGGTAGCCTGGCCACACCACTGAGCCAGACAGGACACTGCCCTGAGGAACCTAACTGTTCCTCTTCCACCGAATCTGTCCTGAGATTAAAGGTTTCAGTGTTTTAGAAAGTAAATTAGCAAATTCTTTCTTTATGTGTGGGAAGCACACATTTGCTTCTGCTCATGATAACTATAATTATTTCATGAATGTTACTTATTTAAAATTTCCCCTGCTTTGCCTATTCCAGACTATTTTCTTTTTGAAAGTAACCGCCAGCAAAGTTGTCTTGTCTGTGGGGTCAGTGTTGCCTTCCCCAGGGATACAGCAGCCAGAGTGACTGTCCCCGGCCCTCCTTGGTTTCTTCCTCTATTCACTCCACAGCCTTTGTTGGGCACCCACTGTCAGTGCTAGGTGTTAGGACGTGCTGGCCTTTTGCACATCAGATGCTCCCACAGTGCTTGTCGCTGCTGCTGCTGCAGTTAGTGGTGATGCGAGCGAGCTGCTGTTTGTTATCCCCACGGTTTTACTCCTGGATTTCATTTCTTTAATTGCTGGTCACTTTCCCTGCTGTCCTCTCTGTCCAAAGCCTAATCTGTGACATTGAGACTGATGGGAGCCGGGTTCGTCCACACCCTCCTCACACTTGGTGTTGTCTGTGTTTGACCTTAGCGTTTCTGTTTTGTGTGTTTGCGTACACATATGCAGTGGGCTCTGACTCCGTTTTCCTCGGAGCTGCTGAGTCAGCTCTCCTTTTACGTGATGCAAGACACCTGGGGTGCGCTCTGGGATATGCCTCAGTGTGGTCTGCTTGTTTCTCTATGGAACCAGTAATTTTCTTATTCATTTGTAGACTTTAAAAATATTTTTGTTAGGTTTTTTTGTCTCAATAAAAAAGCAGCTATGAAATATATGTAACATAACCTTCACATTTAAACATCTTACTGTGTGATTTGGTGGTTCCCAGAATGCTTCAGTACTGTGCCATTATCGCCGCTTGTCAGTGGACTTGCTGCTTCCCCATCCCTATCAGCACTGGTCCACTGTCCGTCACTGTGGACCGGCTGCTGCTTCTTGGCATGTTTATATAAACTGGATCAGACACCACGTGGCTGTTATCATCTGGCTTCTTCCGGCCTGATGCCTTCAGGTCCATGTGTAGAATGTGCCAGCGCTTGTGTCCATATGGTTGCACAGTGTTCTGTGTCACGTCCATGTTTGCTAATGTGTTCTGATCCTGGCTTGCTCTTAATGGCAGTTTTTAATAAACTGAGGTTCTTAATTTCAATATAACCCAACAAGCAAGTGTTTTCTTTATAGCTAGCACCTGCTGTTTTCTGTATGGATGTGTAGATGTTTGCTACTCTGGGCTCATGAAGATGTTCTGTAGTGTCTTCTGCAAGTGTCGTTGCTCCGCTTTTCTCCTTTGGATCTACAGTCCACCTGGGGTATGAGTTCAGTCTGTGGTATGAGGTTTCTCACGGGTATAAAAGAATCTTTGACCATTGCTTTGTAGGGTAGCCTTGCCAGAATCCAAGTAGCTGTGTTGTGTATTTGTATGTGCAAGTGTTTGAATTTATTCTTGTACCTTTGTATGAGGTATACGTGTGTACGTGTGCGCTTTTGTAAATACAAGTGGATAGTGTATGTATACTATCTATGTATATGTACATAGTTGTGTGTGTTTCTATTGGTTGATGTGTACATTTCCTTTGCTCATGCAAAGTGCTTATGCAAGGGTGGGGTGTTACTTTGATTTGCTACTGCTCACCTGTTAATCCGTGACTGCTCTCACACTGTTTTGTAGCTTGGCATCCAGTAGCATCCTGACCCAACTTTGGTTCTGTATCAGGATAATCGTAGCTTTATTTGTGATTTCTTCCACTTCCTTGTAAGTTTTCAGGTCTGGCCTTCATCTTTCATGCATGCGTTAAGTCTCACCAGCATTCCTAAATCTGTCTATTATTTGAGGGGATATTGACATTTTCCTGGTGCAGAGTGTTTGCATTCTCACTGTTGGGATCTTCTAGTACCCCAGTGGCATCTTGTGTTGGGCACAAAGGTTCGGCCATTTTGTGAACCTGTGTCTTGATGTTTAATGGTGTTTTTGATGTCATTGTAAGTGGTACTTCTTTTAAAAAAATGTTTTGTATTGGACTGTTGCTATTTCCTATAGTTTTAAAGTATCTTTGTGGTTGTTCTGTTGGGGATGTCCCAGAAGCCAGTCTTGAGCTCTGTGTGTAACAGGGCAAGGTTAAAGAACTGGTCTGTGATGACCATCCATTCCGTCTGACCTTCTCATCTTCTCTGCACTGGTGGGAGCTTTCTCTGTACTCTGTCAATGTCGTCACCTGCTGGTGATTGTCCGCCTACTATGAGGTTTGAGGTCAGTTACAGGAATCGTTTTAGTGCTAAAGTCTGACTCTTTCCTGATGCAGATAAAAAATGTACAACAATTATTCAAAATAAAGGTTGGCGTGGCTGGAGAGATGGCTTAGCAGTTAGAAGCACTGGCTGCTCTTCCAAAGGACCAGGATTCAATTCCCAACACCCACATGGCAGCTTACAGCTGTCTCTAATAGTTCCAGGGTACCCAACACTCTCACACAGACAGACATGCAGGCAGACCACCAATGCATATAAAATTTTAAAAATTTAGAACTGAAATAAAGATTGGAAAATACCCTTATTTAAAAATATTACAGTGGTCTACATAAGTGACTGTTTAAAATATTATTTTTTTTCTCCCCAAGTGTGGTTAATTCAACCAATGTTAGTCTCTTGTGTAAGGTATCTCTGGCCACTCATGGGCCCTCCTGGAGCTGCATATAGGAACCTGCGTCTCTGGGTGGCACTTGGATACTAGCCATTCTTGGTGTGCACTGTGGTTTTTGTATTGGGTTGAAGAGTGTCAGGCTGTGAGCAGTCTCTGGCAGTGAGCAGACTGGGCAGTGCGTGTGTTCCTTAATGAAGCTGAGTCCTTCATCCTCAGGTCACAGAGCTGCTGGACGTCTCTATGGAGCTTGGCTGCTTCCTGGCTGGAGCACTGGTCTCTTCTCAGGGGCACATGGTCACAGAGGAGATCGTGGCTTACATCGAGCCTATCCGAGACTTCCTGGCCATCATTTTCTTCGCATCCATAGGTATTCCTCTCAATGCTGCAATTCCTTTGATACTCATGTGAGACCCGTTTGTATGGCTGTATATAAATATGCTTTTCTAGAGTCTGAGGAAAGACTTACTTTAAAATAGGGAAAATGGACAAAAAAAAAAAAGGTCAAGAATTAGCTGGTTGTTCGTCAGGTTTCATCAGTGCGATGGGAGGTACCTAGGGCAAGGCCTGTTCCCTGGTTTCTTCCTGTGTGAGCCAAGTGAGGAATGACAAAGACTGTGTAGTTGTGGGACATTTCCTGACCCTTCCTGTGGCTGCTGTGCACACACTCAAGCTGTGTGTGCGCTAGTCCCTAGTCCAGAAGGAGTGCTGGGTCCTGTGCCGACCTGGGAGTTTCGTGCATTCTCTGCAGGTGTGGCCCAATGGAGGAGGGCTGCTGGGCCTCTTTCTTTCCCCAGAAGAGGGAGAGGGTTTTGCCAAAGCACTCAGAAGGACTTGAGTTTCAGTTAAGTCTTCTGTAAGAGCAAGCTTAACGAGTAAGACAGAGTTGTAGACTTGTAGTCGAGAGATGGCTGGAGCCTGCTCTGAAGTCTCTGTCTCTGTCTCCCACAGGGCTCCATGTCTTCCCCACCTTTGTGATCTATGAGTTGACTGTGCTGGTGTTCCTCACCCTGTCTGTGGTCGTCATGAAGGTATGAAGTGAGGCTGGCTCTTAGCACTCAGAGCTGGTGAAGTCCACACTGCTCTGTTGCTCACTACACAGTAGAACACTTCCCATTGGCCCTCGTTTCCAGCCAGTCACTGCCTAAGTCCTGCAGAGCCCCAGTGACACTTGTGGCTCCCAGAGACACTCCCACCCACGCCCTTGGCAGGCCCAAGGAGGCAGGTCTGGACCAGTGGTTTAGATGGTAGGATGATGTGTTGTTTCAGAATTGAGGTGTTGGGAATTAGCAGAAGCCAGGTTGGGGAGCATCTTTCTGGGTCAACAGGCTTGTTGTGGTTAAGTCTGAGGAGCCGCCATTGTCTCCTTCCTGATGGAGGTGTGTTTCAGCATACAGGAAATCCAATGGGCACTGCTAAATGACCATCCTCATGACCACAAATTACTGTATGACCTGAACTGGTGTCTAAGTCACAATGTGACTGCCTGTTTAGCAGTATTTGGCAAGTTGCTAGTTCTGAACTGCCTGCCACTTCCAGGCTTTTCTCATATATGGAATGAACCTCTGTCTTGAGTGCTTACTATTTAATGCTGTTGATTCAGTTTGATGGGGGAAGGCTTATTTTCTATCACTGAATCCAAACTTTTTATTTTGCCTTCTTTTTCTATATGGATTTAAGACAGTTTCTATTTATTTAGTGCCTTCTGGCTATAGCGATATTTCTTTTGTATTTTAATAAATAAAGTTTGCCTGAAGTTCAGAGAGTAAAACAGCCACACTGATCAGCCTTACGGACCAGGCAGTGGTGACACACACCTTTAATCCCACTAGCCACACTAGTTTGCCACAGAAACCTGTAAGTGGAGACTGCTCATTTGTTTCCAGGTGGCCAAGACCTAAATAATCACATAGAAACCATATTAATTACAACACTGTTTGGCCTATTAGCTCAGGCTTCTTATTAACTAACTCTTACATCTCAAATTAACGCATTTTTATTATTTTATATTTTACCATGAGGCTCGTGGTTTGTCACCTCTTGTTTATTGATCTGCTACATGGCATCTGCCTCCTTTGGCAGCTACATTGTAGTAGGAGGAGGCTGCTTTTTGGTTTCCGGCCGCCCTGATAGCTTAGCCCCAAAATAATCACACAGAAACTGTATTAATTAAATCATTGCTTGGCCCATTAGTTCTAGCTTCTTATGGCTAACTCTTACATCTTAATACATCTCCATAATCTGTGCATCATCACGAGTTCGTGGCCTACCAGCAAAGTTTCAGCACATCTGTCTCCAGCGGCTGTGCCATGGCTTCTCCCTGACTCTACCCTTCTTCCTCCCAGCATACAGCCTAGCTTTCCCTGCCTCGTTCTGTTCTTCCCTGCCATAGGCTCAAAGCAGTTCTTTATTCATTAACCAATAAAAGCAACATACAAACAGAAGGACCTCCCGCATCACTATATGGTGTCTCCTCGACTCCACCTACTCTCTCTATATATCCCTTCCATTCTGGCTATATTCTGCTCTGCCATAGGCCAAAGCAACTTTATTCATTAATCAATAAAAGCAATACATATGCAGAAGGACATCCCACATCAGAAACTGGGCTGTAGTGGTACACATCTTTAATCCCAGCCCTAGAGAGGAATATAAGACGGGAAGAGACAGCTCTCACACACAGTCTCATTCTGAAATCCCTGGAGGCAGGATCGCCATTTCAGACTGAAATAGAGGAAAGAGCCAGTGGCTGGCTGTTTTGCTTTTCTGACCTTCAGGTTGAACCCCAATTTCTGTGTCTGGGTTTTTATTAATTGTGCTATATCTGATTATTTAACATGCTGCTGCGTGCACTTTCCTACTTGATTTGTGGCTAGAAACAATGGTAGCCACTGATGTTCTCCATCTCGGTTCTGGTTTATGAGAGTCATTTTGTCTGCCTTTGGTCGTGAATAGTGATGTGATAAGCCATTCTTACAGTTTGTGTTGGCAGTGCTGGTCTTGTCTCTCATCTTGCCACGGAGCAGCCAGTACATCAAGTGGATTGTATCAGCAGGACTGGCACAGGTCAGCGAGTTCTCCTTCGTTCTGGGGAGTCGAGCACGGAGAGCGGGCATCATCTCGAGAGAGGTGAGAGTCAGTAAGTTCACAGGCATGACAGTCCTGTGGAGCACATCGAATGCTTCAGTGCAAGCATTTCTAGCAAAGAGTGAACACTCCCCGACTCCCACTGTGCTGACTTGGGAGTCCAGGCACACCAGGCCTCTGGGACAGCAGCATGCTCTCAGTGGGCACTGAGCTGGCCTGGAAGGAAGCTGGACCTGGCTGCTTCCTTCTGGTTTAAGGTGTTGAAATTCTTAGGTGAAAATAGCTAGTTAATCCCTGCTGTCATCTTTTCGGCTTGATCTTAGCCCAAAGGCCAGGAAGTGATGTCATTGTCTTTTACAGTAATTATAATTAGCAGGCTGAGGAGAAGTGGGATGTTATCTGGAGCCTACAATAGAAGCTCCCAGGGAAGCACAAGAAGCCTGCAGAGCATCTAGAGACCAGTGGTTGTCCCTGTGTAAGGAGTGTGAGGAGGTGGCAGTGTAAGGGCCATGGTAGAGGCCTGTCCACTGAATGAGGCATCACTGAAGCTGACACAGGGCTGCACCATGGGAAGAGCGTGGTCACCTTCAGGCTAGCAAAGAAACCAGGCTGCTACCCTGGAATTTACGAGACCTCATCACAGCGTTCCATCAGTGGTTAAATCCCAGTTGTTTCCACTGCAAATGTCCTCCCCCCCACCACCACCCCGCACTACTTCCTCTTTCTGTAAAGATGGGTAAGCTCTGCCACTCAGTGGGACCATGTGCTACTCAGTGTGCCCTCTGAAACCACAGAGCGTCCTGTAGTCACCTTCCGGAACCCCCGTGACTGTGCCCATTGATCTGTTGCAGGTGTACCTCCTTATTCTAAGCGTGACCACACTTAGCCTCCTACTTGCCCCGGTGCTGTGGAAAGCGGCCATTACAAAGTGTGTGCCAAGACCAGAGAGGAGGTCAAGCCTCTGACAGCGCCAGATGATGAGGGACTGGACTGTGGGGCGGGGTCCTCCTTGGGGGGTTGTGAGTCCTGAGATGGTCTGTTGCTGCTCCCTCTTGCCAGCCTTCCATCAGAGACAGCAGCAGCAGCAGCAGCAAGGAAGAGCCAGTGTCCTCGTGTTTGCTTGCATTCAAAACCTCTCCCGTCGTGTTTCTCCGGAGTAATTTATTTGCCGTCAGTCAGTTATGTACAGAGTTTTAACACTGCATTTTACAATCACCTGAACTGTTTGCCTGGATGTGCCTTTTTTTAAAAAATGAAGATTATTAACTTCCTATTGTTAATTCATCAGCCCATGAGTTTTTGGTAAAGAAGAATTAGAAAGACTTTTTTATTTATTGTACAATGATAATCTGTTGGTCAAATGTTTGTTATTGAGCATAATGGTGATAGGAGATTTTATTTTGAGCTTAGATGCTTACTTTTGATCTTTAAAGGCTTGCTGCTTTCCTGTCACCTGTAACTATTTTAAATAAAACATTTTCATGCTGATTTTTATTAGTTTTACCTTTAAAACATTTGATTTTGAATCATAAGAATATGCATCCTTAAATAAAAACTATTTATGATCAGGGCATAATTATTTGAAACTTACTAAGAATCTCATTTTTAAGTTATATTTTTGTATTGAACTAATTATTGCACAAAACCTAGCCAATGTTTTTTAATTTTAGACTTGCTTATGTGTATGAGTGTTTGCTGCATGAATGTATGTTATTTGTATGAATGCATGTGCACCATGTGTGTCCTGATGCCTGAGGAGGTCAGAAGAAGGGGGTTAGATACCGTGGAACTAGAGTTATGGATGATTGTGAGCCACTGTGTGGGTGCTGGGAATAGAACCAGGGTCCTCTACAAGAGCAACAAATGCTCTTAACTACTGAGCCATCTCTCTGGCCCCATCAGACATTTTTTTTTAAACATATGTCACCATATAGTTCTTAAAGACCAAACGAGTGCATTAAAAAATGTTTAAGTTCCAACTTTGGAATTTGACTAGCATATTTTAGTTGTCAGGTGCCCTAGACATGAAGACCTGGCCCTGGCCAGAGCTTCCCTAAGGGGCTATTCAGCCTCTCCATGACTGTAGCACAGGCCCGTGGCTGGCAGTCTCTCCAGAACTGTAACTTGGACTCTTAGTTTTAGGTGCTAGGAAGCACAGGATCAAGGGAGGAAGGCTTTGTCCCCTCTGGGAGGGTTCCCTGGGGTTACATGCTGCATAGGGGATTTCAAGGAGGGACGGGTAGCAGAGAGAGAGCCCACTCCCAGAACTTTATATTGTAATTAATCCAGCCTGGAGGGTGGGTCCTCCCTGATTGAAACTTCCCTGGATCCCACCTCCCAACACTGTATTAGGGATTAAGCTTGTTAACACCTGAACTTTGGGTACAGAACCATTCACACATACTAGGTACTTCAATTTTCACTTGCATATATTTTCTTAGTTACAAATATATATGTATACTGTAGAACACAGCTGTTACTTTGTAACAAGAATTTCTCCATAAATACTGGTTCTAAGATCAGGATGAATAGACTGTCATACTCTGAGGTAGAGGGACAGACTATTAGGTGTGATTATGTATTACGTATGCATATTGTGGATTATAGCAACATAAATTAAACCTTTAAAGTCAGTTGAAGTAGACTGCATCTTCTCCAAGTGGCAACCAATATAAACAGGGGATTTTAGAAAACAGTGTTGCTTTTCTTTCTAAGTGGCATCAGATTGCTGAATCCACCCCCACCCCGTGTGCTTAGGATGTGCTAAAGGAGCAAGCAGGTGCAGTAGCTGGTACAAGTGACTAGAACGTTTTGTGACATCTGAAGAAGGCAAAGGTTGCTTGGAGAGACTGACTGGGAAGGGGCAGTGCCAGAGGTCCAGAAGAGAGAACAGAGAGGTCATCCTCACTGTCTTCCAAGAGCTTGGTCATCAGCTGCCAGGCCTCAGTGCTTCAGAAGAAAATGCATCCGTGGGCTTTGCTGTGGCAAACACTGCTCCTCTAGCTACAGGTGTGGGGGCGCATACATTCAAGTCCTCCAGTTGCAGGTACGGGGGTGCATGTCCTCCAGCTATAGGTGTGGGGGCGCATGCATCCAAGTCCTCCAGTTGCAGGTATGGGGGTGCATGTGTCCAAGACCTCCAGTTACAGGTGTGGGGCCACATGCATCCAAGTCCTCCAGTTACAGATGTGGGGGCGCATGCATCCAAGAGCCTACGTTTCCAGGAGATGGGGTGGTGGTAGGGGAGGACATTATGTTTGGCTCCCCTAGCCTTCATCACCTTGGCATAGTCTACATGCTACACACTGATCAAGACAGGGCTGCATGGATTCAGAGTGGGAAATCTCTTCCTGTCACCCACTGGGGCAGCCCTTGATTAGCTGAAGGGATGGAGCTGGCTCACTGGCCTTCTTGAAGTTGGTTCTAGAAAATCCAAGGCTCTTGGAGCACTTGGAGACCCCGCTAAGAAGACGAAGGGAAGAGAGGTGTGTGTAGAAAGGTCTGGGAGGAGCTGACTTCAGAATGGAATGTAGGGGAAAGAAGAGGGCTGTAGGCACATTCCTACCGTGTCCGTGGGGTCTGGAGATGACATGACCCCTCAGAAAGGACTCCATGTTCTGGGGGGGGGGGGATGACAGATGGGGCTGCAGCTCCTCTAGGTAGGGAGGAGGACTCTGGCCTGGAGAGACAAACACAAGGCACAACATTCAGGGATTTCTCCTACCTGGCTAGACTGGGCAGGTCCCTGTTTTTGGAGGATAGAAAGGATACTACTCTACACGAGAAGAAGTGGAAGTGAGGGACGGATCCGTCACCTAAGGGGATTTACTGTGTGATGATGTCACAGAGAAGCAGGACAATGGGCACAGGATGTCCCAACTGAACACTTTGGAGAGCATCTGATTTAAAATTCTCCTATCCTGATGGTGCTGAACATGTATTGGGAACTCTTTTTCCCAATAATGTGCTCTTGAAAGGTAGACTATAGTTACATTACAGAGTTAAGAGGTCGACGAGGTAGGTGTCAACTCGTCACAGAGCATGGTGGGCAGCCTGAAAGTGGTGGTTCACTGAAAAGGGTCAGTTTCTGTGACTGGCAGCAACCAAGCCAGCTCTAGCCCCGCAGCTCTGGCTGTATCTCAGCCAGTGCTCACTTAGTACCATGGAGATCATAGTGATCCCGCAAGGTTGTCAGCTTTCACTTCATTGCTCATTTCACCCAAGTGACCATTGGTCTGTTTGACTCAAAAAGTGCAAGGGACTGCACTGTGGGAGCTAAATCTCAGGGTTGGATGACATTGTCTCCATTCTTGGGACATTTCCAACATTTCCAAATAGATAGTTTTGGGTGGGTTCCCCGGACCCCAGCACGCACACACACATGCACGCACACACACATGCACGCACAGACGCACTCAAGCATGCGCACACACATATGCACAGAGGAACAAATTGATCTGGAAGTTCACCTGAGCCTAGTTTCCTGCTCCTCATTCCCTTCACATCTCTCACAATACAAAAAAACAGTGAGCGCACAATATAAGAATTTCTTATTTATTTAGTTATTTGCTTGACATTTTCCTGCAGTGGTTTTTACCTGTGAGACTATATAAACATGACCTCGCTGGTTGCTGCCCAGGATAGGTGTCAAGTAGAACAGTGATTTCTATTTTCAACTCTTCAAGCATGCATTTGACCCAATTATCAGGTCTGAAATACATTTATGTTTGCTTGTTAGGAGAAAATCTAATCTTGAAGCCTCATCTTGCAGTCCCTTCCCCATAGTATGGTGTCCTTGTCATCTGTATTCTCTCTGACCCAGCTATCATTTGTACCAAATATTCACAAAAAAGGACTTAACTTCCTTCCAAAGAAGGTTTGGAGTTTGTGCTAAAGCCAAGTCAAGTCACCATCCAACCCAGCAGTTGTCACAGTTACCCACGTGCACTGAGGACTGTGTTCACAGAACAATCTGCGAATGGTGCTTTATAGCAGATTTTCATAACGGCCCAAACTCAGCCCAGAACCTGCAGTGAGTCAATAATCTGTGCTGCCTTTAGAGAATGGAGCATGCGTTACTAAAAAATTAAAAACCATCAATTGCAGAAATACCTAAGATAATCTGTGCTGCATCTAGAGAATGGAGCATGCGTTACTAAAAAATTAAAAATCATCAATTGCAGAAATACCTAAGATAATCTGTGCTGCATCTAGAGAATGGAGCATGCGTTACTAAAAAAATTAAAAATCATCAATTGCAGAAATACCTAAGAGAACTTTAAATGATATCAAGTGAAGAAATCACTCTCACAAAACAAAAGTTTGAACAGATTGGCAAGTTTTAGCAAAAAATGCTGAGACTCTATTGAGACACCATGGAACCTATAGGATAGTTTAAGGATGATGGCCAACTTCACAACATTGAGTCTCCAAATCCATCAGTGTGATTTCTATTCAGATTTTGATTTTGACTTTTTCAAAACAATGTTTCATATTTTTTGAATCGATGGAATTTTGCAAATCTGAACTAATTTTAATGAGATTCCTTTTTCATTATTATAAACTATACTTAAAATATGCTTCCAGTAGATTATTGTTATGTAGAGATGAAGGTATTTATTTATATGTTAATTCGTTACAGCAGGGTAGGAGCCCAGGGGCTCATGTATGCTTGGCAAGTGCTCCCACCAGAGTTGTGCTCTGGCTGCCTGGATGCATCTTGTATCCACAGACACTGCTAAATCTACTGTAAAAAGAAAAAAAAAAACTGCAATAAATTTCTTGATTTCCCACATGATGTGCAATCATCATCTGAGGATCAATAAGTCTTCCTAGGCAACATGTGTGCCTTTCAGGTTCTTTTCCTTGCCTTTTTTTTAAATTAATTAATTAATTAATTAATTTATTTATTAAAGATTTCTGTCTCTTCCTCGCCACCGCCTCCCATTTCCCTCCCCTCCCCTAATCAAGTCCCCCTCCCTCCTCAGCCTGAAGAGCAATCAGGGTTCCCTGCCCTGTGGGAAGTCCAAGGAACCCCCACCTCCATCCAGGTCTAGTAAGTTGAGCATCCATACTGCCTAGGCTCCTACAAAGCCAGTACGTGCAGTAGGATCAGAAACCCATTGCCATTGTTCTTGAGTTCTCAGTAGTCCTCATTGTCCGTTATGTTCAGAGAGTCCGGTTTTATCCCAGGCTTTTTCAGACCCAGGCCAGCTGGCTTTGGTGAGTTCCCAATAGAACATCCCCATTGTCTCAGTGTGTGGGTGCACCCCTTGAGGTCCTGAGTTCCTTGCTCGTGCTCTCTCTCCTTCTGCTCCTGATTTGGACCTTGAGATTTATGTCCGGTGCTCCAATGTGGGTCTCTGTCTCTGTCTCCTTTCATCGCCTGATGAAGGTTAATATTCAAGAGGATGCCTATATGTTTTTCTTTGGGTTCTCCTTATTTAGCTTCTCTAGGATCACTAATTATAGGCTCAATGTCCTTTGTT